TTTGCACAAATATATAAGTGTCATTCCAATATTATCATTATTTTAGAATGCCTTGACTTAAGAAAAAGAGTTTTAGACTAAAACGCGAACAAAATCGTAAATACATGCAGGAAATAAGAGCGTGCGAGTCACAGCCTCTGCAGTACAGTAAACAACAAAACAACAAAAAGTAAATAGTGGAATATTTCCTCAGTTAGGTAATCATGTAGAGTTAGATGGTGTTACCCATGAAGTTGATAATTGTATGGACCAATTAATGAACAAACTTGACAGACTAACAAATCAAAGTGAAATATCTTCAAATGTAATGCAATTACTAAATCAGTTTCACCTGTATCGAAAGAATATTGTGAGATCTGATTAGATAGATGTTATAAAAGGGCTTTCTTGTGCTGGTTTACAAAACTTTGGACTTACATGTTATCATTATGTTATTATACAAGTATTAATACATACATGTACTCCAGCATTTGCAAGCTACATTCTTATCAAATCTAAAACGCATCAAAGCAGAAAAAATAAAACACCATCTTGTTTTTTATGTGAATGAGAACCATTTATAATCCAGATGTATTTGGGTAACAACAGATTTAATAGTGCAGCATGGTTACAGAAATACGTTAAAAATACAGAATTATTTAATCCTTTTGTGGAAAATGATGCCCATGAGTTTCTTGTGATTATATTTGATATATAAGAACAATATGACGTAAACAGTAATAATATGCCAGTATATACTTTACAAAGTATATTTATGGGTATCTATAATAACTCATATAAATCAAAACACTATGCATATCAGAATATTAGACTTGAACCATTTACTGTTTTACAACTTCCTATCACATATTCTAGTAATAATGAACCAATTTATATTTCACATTGCCTTAATGATTATTTTAGTGAAGAAACAATACATGAATATTCGTGTAGTCATTGCAACGAAGTTCATGACATTGTAAAAAATGTGACCAATCAAGTACTACCACCATACATTGTTGTACACTTGAAACGTTTTTCAAATTTGGGGAATAAAATAGAGACACCTGTCAGTTATTCAATAAATTTAAACATGTCTGAGTATGTAAGCAACAGTTATTATGGTAATACTTCATACTAGTTATATGGTGTAATAGTACACCAGTCTAATCCATTACATTATTATGCCTGTATTAAAACGTCTGATAATAACTGGTATAAATTCAATGATAATAGCATAACACTTATTGATATCGAAAAAGTTTGAAAAGGACAGGCTTAAATTGTCAGTTCATAGAAATAAATAGTAATTGTTATGAATCCACCAATTACAGTCAAGAACTATGTCACATACTTAATTGGCAAGATTTATCTACTGATGTGAAAGATCAGGTTCAAAATAAGGCGATAAAAAGTAGGAAAAATATAGAACAATTGGAAAATGAGAAAAATGCAATGAGATTTGGAAAAATATAGATCAATTAGAGAAGGAGCTCCGGTGAGCTTATTTATCCTCCGGGAAGCACCCCTGAGCTTCGAGGAGCTCCGGGCGATATGTAAATTTATGCAAGAATATTCAAGACCTGAAAATTCAGTGCGGCGCCTCGTTTTTGTCAGCAGACTGGAATAAATTGAAAACTCACTGTTTAACTCTAAAAGAACATCTATTGTTGAATAAAAATAGCTGACCTATTTCTTAGCGTCGTGTAAATAGTAGAGTTTACAAAATAGCTGCCGTAAATATTTGTTTTGTCACGTAGCTTTGTCGGCGTAAACATAGGACGACTTGCGTTATAAACTAGCACTTATTTCAATATAAACAGTATTTCTAAATAATAAAAAAACAAAACAATTATAGTGGAACGCACATAATATAAACGTGTGTTTGCCGACAAAGCGGAACTATACGTTTCCTACAAATTCTGGGTCTGGAAATTCAAATACGTGTCAGGGTCACAGGTCATGGATCTCCATGCGTAAATTTCACAAAACTACGCGCCGTAAATATTTGCTGTGTCACTTTGCATTGTTTGCGTAAAAAATCGGATGACTTGCGTTATACTATCTTGCTCTGATTTCAATTAAAAAAATATTTCCCAATAAAAAGAAACTTTAGTGTATCGCACTGAATTATAGTAACAATGGGATTATTAACGCCGCATTCATAACTACGCAACTTTCATAAAATGCACTGTGGTATACAGTTTCCTTAGTAAAATAGCATTTTGTCAAACCATCGCGATAAAACTACGTGAATATAATTAAGAAGCACTGGCACTAAATACAAATTCGAAATCTCTAGCAGAATAGGAATCTTGGCTCCCTGAACTTTGAACGAATTTCTATCAATTTTCCAAATAACGGGCAGCTACTTTTACTACTTGACTAGTTGAACCTTTCCGCATTCGGTAATCAACAACTCTGCAATGTATGTTTGTTTCAGTTCAAAAGTTCTTATAAGACGCACCAGGGAAGACGACATGCAGCAAGTTAGTGACCTAACTGTTGATGTACATTGGGACTATTCAGTAGAGTATCTAGAATCTCTGCGTCAGGCGAATCCAACAGGATTTTACGTAGCTGAAAAAGAAAAAGGTGTAATAATTGGTAAGTCTATGCGTTCGGTAGCATCATTTTGCAATACTCACAATATGAGATTCCTATTTGCAAACAGAATTCTTTCTCGAAACAGATTAAGAGTTCACCATTGTAAATCGAGGGTGAAGCTTTTCATAAAAGTTGTTTTATATAACTTATTGACTTAAATAGCAGCTGACTCTATCCACCCTATGTGAGAGCCATTATCTGCTTAAAGGGAAATTGTCCTCTGTATATCTCTAAGGTTACCATTTACCTACCCCTATCCAGCGTAACCAGAAAACTGATAACCCCGTATTGTATTGCTGACAAGACATATATCCAGACCGATATAACGTTGTTTCTCAAACACTCTTTTCATGCTATATATATTTTAACGACATATATTCTATTTGGTTTGCGCATAAATTATGGCAAGTGATTTTAGAAATTTCGTAATTTAAATGTGTTGACAGAAAGCAGGTCATTATATGTATTTGATTGGATGATCAATTCAGTTGTGCTGCATTCTGTTATTGTTTAAGGCGTACCCATGTCCCCCGAAATATACACATGACCGCAGAATAAACTATAATGTTACATGAAGCTTAAAAAATTATCATTTTTTTCACTCTTTCTGTACACCTTATGTTAATTTGTGCAGATATCGAGGCCATGATTTTGAGAATATGCAAATGTGGTATCACCTTCCATACTTCTATAATAAATAAGCAGCTCATTCTACTCAGAAGTTATTGATTGCCAAATGTTCTTATTGCCATTAACAAAACAAATACCCAACTTTTCAGGTACTGGATACAGTATTATCCACTCCAATGATTTTGCTTTTGTCGGGATATCTATAACTAAATCTGAGCATAGAAGGCAGGGGATACAGAAAATGATGGTGAAGACGCTACTCGAGCATGCAGGAGATCGTAATGTTGGATTGACGTCACAGGGTCAATATCGAAGTGAAGTGTATTCCAAAGTTGGTTTCAGACATTTAGATATCAATTTTGAGACAATGTTGTTACGTGGGAAAGTCGACCATTCAATAGTATCCCTGGATAATAATGTAACTATTGATATTGTGCCATTTCGAGAAGTTTCATTCAATAATTTATTGCAGTACGACTGCAAAATAACTCGGTTTCCAAGACCGGATTTTTTAAATCTTTAGTGTAATAAATCAGTAAATATTTTGATTGCACTCAGACGTGGTTCCCATGAAATCGTAGGTTATGGGGCCGTCTATAAAATGTTACCCGGTGAGTTTTCCATAATTCCCCTATGTGGGGACGATGGTAACATTGCCAACGCGTTGTTCCAGGCATTGTATTGCTCTATTCCGGATAAGTCGAACCTTCGAGGACATTTCGTTTGTAACAACCCCAAGGCATTGCAGCTGGCCGCTACATATGGTTTACAAGAAAATCTCATGACCCTCAGAAGACAGTATACCTTGAAAACTATGTCATTTTCACTGACACGGGTATTCACAGTTGGTCCCCCGGAGGCTGTCCCCGTTTAATATATACAAATCTAGTTTTAGCAGGAATCTCTGACATTTCGCAAAATAGTGTACCATACACGAGGATAAGCAGCCTTCAATTTTATTCAGCCTAGGCCTGTATCAATGTTTATTTGAAAATACTTCCCTTCCCATACTTAAGTAAGCATAACAAAATTTTCAACACATAGAATAGATAATTCAAATTACCTAGTTGAAATTGTTTCAGATTTTGTACTAGAAATCGGAGTACAATTTTGATATTATTCAACCAACATTACATCTCACTGTTTTGTGTAAGTTTGAAAGTGATACCTAAACATAGCTTTTAAAGTTTTTTGATGAAAAATAATAACAATACTGATGTTACATGTGAAGTATGACGTTTTCTATCCGGGTAAAAATATTGAAATTGTTGAAATGATATATTTTGATGTATTTTATATTAAATGGCAAATGAATAGTTTCATTTGGTTGACGTATTTATTCTGCTATTCCATCAGTGTCGTCTAGATAGAGTGCATCAATTGTCCACGGTCGGGAATTTATTAAACAAAAAGACAGATTATGTAAATAACTGCCATAAATAACACATGCACTATATATCAATGTAACAGTGTATACATGTGTTTGATTGTGATCCGACAACAAACATTAAGGTTAAAGAGTGTGGTAACGATTGATTATGATTGTTTAAATTCCCCGTTAAATCATATACCTGTATAAACAGAATTGGATATTTTATGCAAAAAAAAAACACGACCGCGTAAAGGAACGGACACAGTGCAGTGCAAAGATAACACGGTATAACATTTGCTCACGATATGGAAAACATATAACAATATATTTTATTTGAACGTCCACATTTGGAACTATATTTAATAACTTTGTGAGGTATGATGGTAAATTTATACATTTCTCAGTAGCTGGAATATTTGCAACTCATAGTAGTATTTTAAAGTTTTATTATATTTTAATAAGTTTATGAGTACGGAATATGATGGGAAGGATTCTGCCCTATATGATTCCAAGAGATTTTCAGAGTTGTAAATTAATGTTTTAAAATCATTCTGATATAGACACTCTCTTATAATCCCAAACATTTGCTCATGTACGATAACATTATATGTAACTCGGTAATATTTTATAATTATAGATTTTCCCACATAATCTAGGGGAAAGTTTAACATTTGTCAATGTCATTGCTACATAACTTATTGACATGCAAATGTATTGTCCTCATTATGAAAAAGATGAACAGGAAAAGTCTTGTTGAGTTTTCAAGGTAAACTAGGTCTTGCTCTCCTCGGTGAGTCCTGAGTACAGTTATGCAGTTCCGAAAGACATCAACATATAGTACTGTACTTTGTTTAACGAATGGATAAATTATTGTTGTTTACCACTGATCAATCATCGGTGGCAAACAAAGTATATATTTCAGAATGTCCATAGAAAACGTACAGTAGTTCGACACTTGAAAATTAACTACGGCCTCAAATAGAACAGACAACATAATACGTAGTTTATAACACTTTCCCCATAGTTTGCAGTACAGGTGAGCTCTCCATGCAAATCTTCAGATATTCTCTCTTAAAATATGTATTGAGCAAGCACAACACAATGCCAGTAAACTCCAATAAGAAATGTACCATAGCTATAAGCAAGTGATATATTTATAGATATTTAGAGAACACAATGTGAATGTGATTATATACATTGAATTACAAGACAAACTACAATTTTGCAAATCTAGTTTAGACTAAGCCCTGGTTTATTGGATGATAAGTTTCATGCTTGTTACATTAAACCAAAACAAACTCAAGCTTCTCAAACTTTCCCAACCATAACGGACTGATTCCTTCAATATGCACAATCCATAAATTACCCTGTAGGTAGAAAATTGCTCCAAAATAGATTTTGGAATATTTTTGTGATAAGCAAACATCTATGCTAAATCAAGTCCTTATATAGTAAGTGTAACTGGAAATGGCGGAATAAGCAAAACGTTATCTGCTTTCCTTGATGTTTCGTTTCATTTTGTTGTGTTATTTGTGCAATTACGAGTTTGATGGGAACGATAATGTTTTTGGAAAAAACATATATCAACAAAAATTATAGCAGAGATCACAATATTTCTCAGCATACCTTGAAGGTTATAATTGTTTTTTGTGCTGAAAATATCATTTCATTTACTTTATGGTAGCATATATTCTATTATGATATTTTGATTCTATTTTTAATCACATCTAATGTCTAGTCATTTAGAACATTGCTATAAAAAATATGAAATTGTTATCTTGATACAGAGGAATTTTGATCAGTCGTGGAACGCAGAGGAGGCAATGAAATGTGGAAAAGTTCTCCACCCGTTCAAAAAACTTAAAAACAGTGTGTACGTCATGGCATGGGTCGCGATATTTTGGATTTTCTTTTCAGTAGACGCATTCAAAGTAACACATTACGCATGTTACTGAGACGGACGCAAATATTTTCACAATATTTTCAGCTTGGCTCACAATATAACAGAGAATAATACCTAAATGTAGCTTTAGACATTCAGGAAAAATCTTTGGATCTGTACACAAATATTAGAGTTCTCATCAGGATTAGAAAGTGCACCTCCATTAATGTAGAATGCTACTCAAAAATTAAAATATTGTCATTTACATTATTTTAACATATTCGACCGTACTCGGTTCAGAGTAAATTACATGTTTTGTCTGTTTAAAGGCATTTTACCACTGTTTCTATGCAAGTCTAAATTTATATGATAGAAAGAGAATATCATTTACAGGGCGCTTTTGATAGAAGTGTTAACAAATTGACAATATTTTTAGTGCTTTGTTAATGATGAAATGTTTTCATTGTGGTCTATTGAATCCGCTGCTGAAATGCTTTCACTTTTAAACATGGGTTGGACCATATAAATATACTGGCAAATTACTTCTGCGGGCCTTCGCGAAATTATAGGTCTCATCTTTCAATTATAACTCAATACAAGAACGCCCTCTATGACAGTAATGTGGAGGTCAATGAACTACAATTTCGCCGAGACATATATCATATATATATATATACAAGACAGTTATCATTCCTACAAATAAATCGATGTATCACTGCTTCAATTATGCAAAATAATTGGTCTTTTATCTCAAATCTTAGCTATTGCCGTAATTATATATCCCTTTCTGAACACACTAGTCAGACACACGAATTGTTAATTTGTTCCATAGGATAAGAATGTGCGCACATTATATAGAACCAAAATATTGTTTGGTAGATCATATAAGCAGATGCCACTATTTAAATCATTAGGAAGATATGGCACCAGAGCTGCATTCATTAAAATAAAAAAGGCTGCCAGTCGGCCATTTTAAATCCGATCTGAAAAACAAAATTACGTGCATCAAGGTCCCATGTCCAACGTATGCACCAAGTTTGAACAAAATCCATCCATAAATGCTTTTAAATGATTTTGATGATGTTTTACCACAAAATGGCCGCCATTCTGCCATCTTGAATCAGATTGTGAAATATATTGATGTGCTTATGTATAATAGTATGTATGATGTACGTATGAAGTTTGAATGTAATCAGTCCAGGCATGTCTAAGATATAGAACACACGGATGTACATACGTACAGGTTAAACCATAAGTCCCCATTTTCGGACGGGGACTAATATTGTATTATGCGTTGTATAAACTGATATCAGCCCACAATTAAAAATAGGTTTTTAGGCCAGAAGATAAACGCATTTAACCCCACTAGAACAACATGTGGTCTGGAAGTTTGGGGTAATACATATCACTCACACTTAAATACCATTTATATGACCCAGAATATGTTAGTTCGCGCAATGACGTTTAGTTCGTTCACTGAACACTCGGCCCCTTTATTAAAAAAATAAACATCTTTGATATCTATAAAATGCACAAATTAGTCACCTGTACTTTCATCCATGACTTAATCCACCATAATTCTGCCCATAATATTAATGACTATTTCATTCATATCAAACCAGACAACTCCACAATCAAAATCTTTTTGTTTAATATACCCGTACAACATTTGGCCAGTTTTCGATGACATACGCAGGTGCAAAAATATGGAATAAAACCCCGGCTAAAATTAGGTCAACTATCTCACGCAGTTCGTTCAAAAAAAAAATAAACAATTATTACTGGCAGAAAACTAGACACATATAATTTTGTTTGCCAAGTTGTTTATTTATTCATTTTTATTTAACCTGATTTATTTTTCCAAAACTTATTTTCTTAGACTTAGAAGTTCTGTATGACATCAGGTTAGTTATGGCGGTACCACTTTTGCGGATGCCCTGCGGTGTTTGGTGCTGGTGATGGTGTCGGTAAAGCGTGATGCCATACAGACATATTTGTTCACTTATTGATTAATAAGTTATATGTTTATTCATCACCGATTTGTATTAACTCTCATATTCATTTGTTTAGTTATTTATTAATTTGGTTAGTTAATCTTCATATTAATATACGTATTTTTGGCCCTCTAATATATACATTATAATTTACTTCCAATGTATATAGGAAATCAGACTAGATTAGCAGTAAGCTATTTTCTGATTTCCTTTTAAGCCAATATATATATATATATATGTATTTTTCTTACCATTTGTTTTCTGTATGGCTTACTTTTGTTTTTGTTTCTTATTGTTATTATTATTATTTGGTAAATAAATAAATAAATATTAGTTTACTGTGTTATGTGATGTCGCCTTGAACAAATGGAGAATCTGTGTGACGAATGGGTCAATTGATAATTGACACAATAGACTATTTGACGACATGGTATTCAATACTTGGACAGTGTGGTTCCGGGCCATTACTGCTCCACATCATGTCCACCAAAAGGGAGTCAATGCTCTGCATGACACTGTTATTTTGCGAGCAGGTCAACGAACTACAATAGCCGAACCCGGCGTTTATCATCAAAGTCTGTAGAGTT